GGGGGGGGGTGTTGAAGGGAGGGGCTTCTTTCAAGAAGCCTTAGGAGGGCAGGAGGGTGGCTGCTTCATGCCACCATGCAGTGGGAGGTGTGGAGGTGCTCGTCTTCAGATCCCCGAGGAAGGAGGAGGTGGGAGTCAGCACATGCTCTGGGGTGAGCAAGGAGGGAGGAAGCAGGCTCAGCCCCCCGACAGCTTAGGGGACTCTGCCAGAAGGTGGGTGATGGTGAAGAGATTGAGAAATGCTACTCCACAGGGAGCACGGTATCCTGGGGAACTTGGGAAGCTGGCCTGGGTGGCACCTTCAGCTTCTTTCCCTGTCCATGCTGAATGGTGACACCCTCCCACCCACCTCTGTCCTGCAGACCAACATCCCCTTCCTGCAGAATGTGCTCAACAACCAGCAGTTCCTGGGAGGCACCGTGGACACCCAGTTCATTGATGAGAACCCGGAGCTATTCCAGCTGCGGCCTGTGCAGAACCGGGCCCAGAAGCTGCTCTACTACCTCGGTCGGGCCCCAAGACTGCCCCCCTTTCCTCTCCCAGATGCCTTGTTCCTGGCCTCTTACCCAGAGAGCTTCCCAGCACCCCTGCCCTCTATCTGGTCCACATTTGCTCTGCCTTCCACCCTACCCAACCTCCTTGCTCATGATCTTAGAGACCCCCCTTTTCTATCTATGTGGCCCTCAATAGGTCCCCACTGCCTGGATCCAGGAGGGCCTGGCTTTGGAGAGGGAAGGGGCCAGCTGGAACTGAGGATCCTGGAGGAATCCTCCCACCCCCAATCCCATCTACTCTCCTGCCCTCAACTCAGACTCTGCCCAACCTGCTCTGACCCACTGCCCACTCTCTGCAGGACACATCATGGTGAATGGCCCGACCACCCCAATCCCCGTCAAGGCTAACCCCAGCTCCACGGACCCCATTGTCCCTGCAGTGCCCATAGGTAAGTGAGATCTATTCTGCCAACTTGGGAGACAGAAGAGGATGCCGCTTGCAGGATGGGTGCTAATGCCTTGTCTGCCCTAGGCCCACCCCCAGCTGGTTTCAGAGACATCCTGCTGCGAGAGGGGCCTGAGGGCTTTGCTCGAGCTGTGAGGAACCACCAGGGCCTGCTGCTGATGGACACGACCTTCAGGGATGCCCACCAGTCACTGCTGGCCACTCGCGTGCGAACCCATGACCTCAAAAAGATTTCCCCCTATGTTGCCCACAACTTCAGCAAGCTCTTCAGCATAGAGAACTGGGGAGGTAGGCTGGAATATGGTACAGAACCTAGCAGGAATTGGGCACCCACAGTGTGGCCAGGCCACTGGAGACTCCCGGAGAAGCTAGAGACATTAACAGTGAGGAGACGAGTGAGAACTGAGCAAGGCACAGTGTACATTTGTTCAGCAGACAGTAACTGGTGCCCACTCTGGCCAGGCCTGGTGCCAGGCCTGAGATCACAGCTGAGAGCCAGGCAGCTCAGGATTAGAGGGAAGGTGTTAATTACAACACAGAGAATTGGGTGGGGGACTGTCAAAGGAAGGGCACAGAGAGCCTGAACTACCTTGAGATTGCTGAAGGGAATTCTGTGAGGGTCTGGGTGGGAACATGAGGGACCCTGAAGTAGGGCCTGGCATTAGGGTAAGCGCCTCAGAGCTGCAGGGCATGGTGCAGTCCCCAGGACATGTGGGGCTGACCTGGGCCTCTTGGTCCCTGTGCAGGAGCCACGTTTGATGTTGCGATGCGTTTTCTGTATGAGTGTCCTTGGCGGCGTCTGCAGGAGCTCCGGGAGCTCATCCCCAACATCCCGTTCCAGATGCTTCTGCGGGGGGCCAATGCTGTGGGCTACACCAACTACCCAGACAATGTGGTCTTCAAGTGAGCTGGGGTTGGGTGTGCAGACACTGCATGGCGTTGCCCAGCAGGTGCCAGGCCACACTGCAATGGCCTGTGCTCCCCACAGCAGGCTCAAAATCAAGCCTCCTAGTAGCTGTACCCAGTAAGGGCAGCTACTTGGAAATGTCAGGAAATGCAGAATTATAGTCAGAGGGAGACCTGGAAGGGCTTCTAGATCGTGGAACAGTGGAGGTCCTAAGAAGGGAGGTGACTTGTCCCAGGCCATGTGGCATAGAGCTGGGGCTGGGACCTGTGCTCAGGACTCCTTGTTCAGTGCTTTCTCCCTCAGCCTCCACTTCTTCACAAAGAATCCCCAGCTAATCCTTCTGACCTGGGCACAACTAGTGTGGGACAGCTCTGCTCTGTGCCAGGTGCCTTTGGGGAACCCTGCCCAGTCCAAGCTGCCCTGGAAGCCTTGTCCACACTGTGGGCACCATGCTCCCTGCCAGACCTGACCCTCAGATTCATTCCCCAGGGGCCATAGTGGGCCAGGAACCAGGGAAAGATGTGTGGGGTTAGGGGGAATGGGATGTGGCGACCCCCTGGACTCTCCTACCCACGCAGGTTCTGTGAGGTGGCCAAGGAGAATGGCATGGATGTCTTCCGGGTCTTTGACTCCCTCAACTATCTACCCAATCTGCTGCTGGGCATGGAGGCAGTGGGCAGTGCTGGCGGCGTGGTAGAGGCCGCCATCTCTTACACTGGTGACGTGGCTGACCCCAACCGCACCAAATACTCGCTGCAGTATTACATGGACTTGGCTGAAGAGCTGGTGCGAGCTGGTACCCACATACTGTGCATTAAGGTGCCTGGCAGTCTCCCCCAATTTCCCATCTCCCCTACCTCCCTACCATGTTTTCCAGTTACCCCACCATGCACACATCATGCCCCTTCTTAACCATCTATTTTTTTGTCCCCTCTTCCCCCAGGACATGGCAGGGTTGCTGAAGCCAGCAGCATGCACCATGCTGGTCAGCTCTCTCCGGGACCGCTTCCCTGACCTCCCGCTGCATATCCACACCCATGACACTTCAGGGGCAGGTGTGGCAGCCATGCTGGCCTGTGCCCAGGCTGGGGCTGATGTGGTGGATGTGGCATCTGATTCCATGTCTGGGATGACTTCACAGCCCAGTATGGGGGCTCTGGTGGCCTGTACTCGAGGAACTCCCCTGGACACAGGTAGGAACAGCAGCAGCCCATGGCCATTCCCCTCTCAGAGCCATAGCCTCCACCAGTCCAGTCTATCCCAGACTCCAAATGCTCTTGCCTGGCCATGCCTTCCATCACCCGTCTGAGGTGAGACCCGAGTTGGTCCTGGGAGGAGCAGCTGGGAGCTCAGCACATTTCCAACCCTCCCCCTGCCTCTGGCTTCCTGCAGGGGTACCCCTGGAGCGTGTGTTTGACTACAGTGAGTACTGGGAGGGGGCCCGGGGACTGTATGCGGCCTTTGACTGCACGGCTACCATGAAGTCTGGCAACTCGGACGTGTATGAGAATGAGATCCCAGGGGGTCAGTACACCAACCTGCACTTCCAGGCACACAGCATGGGGCTTGGCTCCAAGTTCAAGGAAGTCAAGAAGGCCTACGTGGAGGCCAACCAGATGCTAGGTGACCTCATCAAGGTGAGCCAGGCTGTGTCCTTACCTGTGCTTCTGGGCCTCCAAAAGGTGCCTGGCACCCTAACCCAGGGGCCTGTCTCCTCAGGTGACGCCCTCCTCCAAGATTGTGGGGGACCTGGCCCAGTTCATGGTGCAGAATGGGTTAAGCCGGGCAGAGGCCGAGGCTCAGGCAGAAGAGTTGTCCTTTCCCCGCTCTGTGGTGGAGTTCCTGCAGGGCTACATTGGCATCCCCCATGGGGGATTCCCTGAGCCCCTTCGCTCCAAGGTAGGAAAGGCCCAGCCCAATGTGAGGTGGGATTGGGTGCAAGAATTAGGCCTGACCCTCTGCTGTGCTCCCCAGGTGTTAAAGGACCTGCCAAGGGTGGAGGGGCGGCCTGGAGCCTCTCTCCCTGCCCTGGATCTGCAGGCACTAGAGAAGGAACTTATAGAGCGGCATGGGGACGAGGTGACCCCAGAGGATGTGCTCTCAGCAGCCATGTATCCTGATGTCTTCACTCAGTTCAAGGACTTCACTGCCACCTTTGGCCCCGTGGATAGCCTCAATACCCGCCTCTTCCTGCAGGGTCCCAAAATTGCAGAGGAGTTTGAGGTCAGTGGCTCTGGCATCTATGTACACTCCAGCCCAGGAACCCTGCCCCCCATCAGGACCCCAGCACATCTAGAGTGCCAGACTGGCTTGGCTGTCTCTGGGCTCGAGAGCTATGGGTACACCAAGTGCCCTTGGGAGACCAGGGAGCTAGGCCTTTATTAGTAAGGCTCTGAGGCCAGGGTGGGACGTGCCTGGGACTGTGTAAGGGGGCTGCTCTCCCCATACTCGCCCTTTCAGCTCTGAGCTTCCATATCCTCCCTACAGGTGGAGCTGGAGCGGGGCAAGACACTGCACATCAAAGCCCTGGCTATGAGTGACCTGAACTGGGCTGGCCAGAGGCAGGTCTTCTTCGAACTCAACGGACAGCTGCGGTCCATTCTGGTCAAGGACACTCAGGCCATGAAGGTAGAGCTCCCGTGACAGCCAGGTGGTGGGGATGTGCGGGGCCTGTTGTCTCACGTCTCCTTTGCCATCTGCAGGAGATGCACTTCCACCCCAAGGCCCTGAAGGATGTGAAGGGCCAGATCGGAGCACCTATGCCTGGGAAGGTGATAGACATCAAGGTGGCAGCAGGGGACAAGGTGGCCAAAGGCCAGCCCCTGTGTGTGCTCAGCGCAATGAAGATGGAGACTGTGGTGACCTCACCTGTGGAGGGCACTGTCCAAAAGGTCCATGTAACCACAGACATGACACTGGAGGGCGATGACCTCATCCTGGAGATTGAGTGATCTTGCAACCTGGCCATCCCCACCCCAAGCCTTCTACAGACGCTGTGCTGCCAGGGCAGGCCCAGGCCAGCCAGGGCCTGAAGGCCAGAAGGCTTGGCCCTGGAGCTTCTGTTTATAGCAGGAGACAATGCCTGCGGTGGCCCATCCCCTTTCTCCAGCCATCTGTCCTTTTCCTGCTGATGGACAGTAGCTTACATATTCATCTCTTGCCAAATGAGGGTCCTATCCTTGCTGGAGACTACAGGTGGACACAGGTGGGCCTAGGACCCAGGGGAGCAGGTTTGGGGGGGGGGGG